TTGAGCTGTGTGTTTTTTGGTTGGTAAATTTTTCTTTCGTTTCATTTAGAAATTGAAGAGATGTCATGGGTGAGAAACAGTTGTTGTTCTGAATATGGATCTTTCAGTTTATTGGGTCTGAAAGGTGATACGCAGATATTGTGCCATTAAAGTTCTGAGAGTCTGTGGTGGACTCAGTGAGAGAGCTGTTTTGATGGTATTTGTTGGGTTGTTTGAAGAATAAAAATAATAAGAATGGTTTTGATGGGCTGTTTGATAGTATTTGTTGGCATGAAGTCCAGTATAATATAGTTGTTGGATAAAAGTGATGTGAGTGCCAGAAAATCAATATTATTTACAACTGGTGGTTGAACTAGCTATTAAAATTCACTATTTTGAACAGCACACTTAACTCACTAACTATTTAGCCAATGATAATCCTATGGGATCATGTGAACGAGCTTTGATTGGTTTATATAAAGATAATCAAAAGGAATAAGTGGAGTTCTACGAGTGGTTGATTGTAAGATCAGGAAGCTTTGGATGTTATATAAAAATAACTAATATTTTACCTTTGTACTATTTATTAACATATTTCCCAAGTAATATAAAGGTAAAGAGTTTGAGATGCGGGGGTGTAGGATGTAGATACTACATGCATGCAGCACTTGGTTTTAGTGGTGACCTCTTTATTGTAGCTTGTGTTGTATAGAATGTACCCGACTTCACCAGTTGTCTTTTCCATTTTGTGGCTTGATATATGTAGTGTGAAGGAAATACTGGAAAGGTACCATCTGCACTGAAGCAACCATCACTTGAGCTGCAGGTATTCTCTTTCATTCATGTTTATCACAACATAAATGGCTCTATAGTACTTAGACCCACTCTTTGTTTAACCTTATCTTTTCTAATTATTCTAACTTTTAGTCCATTTATAGCTGAAATTGTGCAATTTGTTTCCGTAATGGTTGACGATATATCCCTACTGAATTGTTTTGTTTTATTTTATTTATTAAATAACCATGTTTTGGCCAATATGGTTCAAGTAATCGAAATGGATACATTAGGGCTATGTCTCTATTTAACTAAATTATGAGTAGCAGCTACGTACTTTGGTTGATGGAATTGAGTATGGTTAAAATACTATTAGAGATACAATTAGGACTCTGTATATTTTTTATAAGTAGATTATGTCTATAGCACTTATTGCATGGGTTATAATTGAATTGAGTAATTTTGTTTAATAGTGTTGGAATATTATTTGCGAGTTGTTCCAGAAAAAATAGACTTAGTTTATAACCCATGCAATTTATTCCACTCATCACCAAATGAGACTTCACTAAGGTGGCGACTAGAATCACTCGCTTAAGGTGTGCTTCACCCTATAGGATCACATCCCTTCTCCTGATAGAGACATTGAACCTATTTTTTAAGCCTAATGATCTACTTGTCCTAGGACCAATTAATTTGGGATGGAACATTATTAAGGTGACAATCCACTTTAAACTGGAGGGGATTCTTCTTAAAGTATTCATTATGTTCTTGTTTCTTGTCTGCATAAATTTGTCATGAACACTTGGAAATCCCTAAGTTTAATAATATGTTAGTGTTTCTACATGCCTAATTGATTTTAGGAATAAATGTATTTAAATGAACCATGTTTCGTTTCCAATGTATATATATATATATATATATATATATATATTCAATTTAATTGCCATTTTTTTTTTACTTTTCCAATTAACATAAAAACTCTACTAGTGTCGATTCGTTTGTTGTTATTATTGTGTTAAATTTCAAATCTGTTACAGAGAATAACAAATAATGATAATGATTGAGTTGTTTCTTTTCAATTTGTATTTATGGCAGATACACACATTATTTTCGCACTTAACAGGTATGTATTTTGTTATACTCGTAATACAGTTTCTTTTGTTTATATGATGTGATGAAATGACGTAAATTTGATATCAATATATGTACTACTTTTGTGATGCAGGAGGATGCCATCAAAATTGTCTTGATCAGGATATTGGATAATAGTGAGCGATTTTTTTACTAGGAATATTAGTTGTTTTTCTTGATTTCTTGGAATTGGAGATACGATTTTTTCACGATTTTGTGCTACATTATTCTCCGGTACATACACGAAATGTTAAAACTAGTGGATTGTGTTAGTAACTTTTGTTATATTCATGTTTGCGTTGTTTTCTTGTTGGTTCTTCTTGGTACATGGTGTTTATGATTTACGTTTGGTTGATGTTTAGGGGGTGGAATGAATACAGACACAAAAAGCATTAAAAAAAAAAATACACAACGATAAAAAAATGTTATTTGAAAGGTTTTTCACATAACGCTTAATATAAAACGTGTTATGTGAAAGGTTCTTCACATAACGCTTAATATAAAAAGTGTTATGTGAAAGGTTATTCGCATAACGCTTAATATAAATAAGTGTTATGTGATAGGTTAATCACATAACGCTTAATACAAAAAGCGTTATGTGAAAGGTTACTTCACATAACGCTTTATAAGCGTTATCTGAAGAGACCTGTCTTCAGATAACACTGACTCCAATAACGCTTAAAAGCGTTATCTGTAGCAAAAAAGAAGCGCTATCTGAAGCCTTTTTTGGCGTAGTGAACCACGATGAAGATATTCTTTTATGCCAAGTTTATATGGATATTTCTTAGGACCCAATTATTGGGGTATACCAATCATCTGACCGATTTTGGTCACGTATAGAAAAAGCTTTCAATGAACAAAGACTTGAGCATTGGGAGGTTCATAGCCAGAGATCTATGCAAGCACGGATTCAAACGATCGAAAAAGCAGCCAAGAGACTCCATGCATGCATTAAAGCAGTAGAAGATATGCATCAAAGTGGTGCTTCAAATGAAGATACAGTGAGTATTAAAATCTTATTACATTTTTTACTTATTAAATTTATTATTTATATTAGCTATGTTTGATTGTTTATGAAAAATTATAAATGCTCAAAGCGAAAGTGTTGTTCAAAGAAGATTCCAAATTCAAATCCGGATGGAAATACGACCATGTTTGGAATATTATTAAAACCTTTGAAAAAGTTTAAGATGGAGCTTCGAGGAGCAAGAAAAAACAATCTGGTCGTTATGCATCTTCGGAGTCAGAAAATCCAACTCCCGAGTCTGCCCGACAAGAATCCCCAGGTATTTCTTCATTGTCTCTAAATTTAAGCGACTCGGAACAATTTGCTAGTGGTACTCCATCTGAAAGACCTATCGGGGTGAAGAAAGCCAAACTGAAAAGAAAGGTAAATGAGGATTCATCATCGCTCATCAATGCTATGAAGGAAGAAAACAAACGACTTGTTGAGGAGATGAAAAATACAAACGACCAAATAAAACATCAATTGGAAATACGCGACAGATCTCATGCTTTAAAAGAAATGAGAGAAGAAAATAAAATTCTGTTACAAGATGTCAATTCCATAGCAGATCCTAGAGTTCGAGCATACGTTGAAGCTGAAAAGGCACGAATCTTGGAGAAAAGAGCACAACAAGCCCAATCAGATTCATTTCCAACCAATGCATTTGGCCAATTTTTTAATGATCTTGGAGGAAGCGGTTCCAACTTACCAGATTACTAAATTGTCATGCTTGTTTTTTGGTTTCCGGTTTGGGTTTATGATGTATTTTTCTTTTTTTTTTCTTTTTGTGTGTTTGTTTTTTATTTATCATGATTTAGGATGTATTTTTTTCTTTTTTTTTTGTATGTTTGTTAATTTTCATGGTTTATGATGTATTTTTATTTTTCGTTGTTCTCTGTTATTTTCCGTTTTACAACTTTACAAATTAAACCACATTATTAAATAAATAATAAGATTAACAAATAAAGTTATAATAAGATTAAAAAATAAAATTATACTATATAACAACAAAAACTGAAGTCATATAACTTGAAAAAAAATATATTTAATTACATGGCATAATTTGTGAATGATTTTTATTACATGTGCAATTGTTTTAATGTAATACATTAAATATATAAATATTATGGCATGTAAACTAAATTATTAAAAACAATAAATATAATATATATTATATAAATGTTGATAAATAAACTAAAACCTAACAACTATTCATTACGTTAAAAATCATAATAAAATGGGGCAAAAGACAATTCACATCACTTTTTGGGGCCAAAATCAATTCACAAAAGTTTTTGCGTTTATGAACAGTACATACGCATATTTGCGTCTGGGAGGAGAGAGAAATGGTCCAAAATGTATTTTGCGTTTCCGTTTGCGCACCGGTTGGAGCAATTTTCTGGTGTTGCGTTTGGGTTTGCAGCTCCGTTAGAAGTTGCTCTTAGAACCAATTGGCCACAACTTAGTCAAGAAATTTTTTTCCCCATACTTAATTCTTATAATATCTCCTAAAGTTTCATAATGTACATTGACTTTTACATTGACTTAATATTTCCTTTCCATTTCTCACTTGTTCCAAGCAGTTGTTAGTATCATATTTTAATTTTCTGACTGTCCCACTAGAGAAAGTCTTGCTATTATTGAGCGTGATAATATGAGAATTTCTACTTTTATTTTACTAGTAAGCCAAGAAACAGTGTGATGTTTTATTATGGGAAAAAAAAAAGTGAAAACAACTATTAATGATGTCTCCCCGAATCAAGAATCGGGTCAGACAATTGGATTGGCAGTGCACAAACAGCACCTTGACCGTTTGATGAACCTAAAAAGCATGGAGAAGAACCCGAATACCGAATTAGAAACTCATGTGCTCAAAATTGCTTGATTTTATAAACTCCATCGAATATCAACCCGATAAGTGGATGTTGTATTATATGTTCTAGTTGGATTCTCGGTAATTATATGTCATCTTTCTGTGTATCATATGCATTAACATATATTATCGAATCAAATGGGTGTAATCGCGTACTGTCAAAACGAAACACGACATAGTTACACGATTTGCCACCATTATAGTTGTGTTTTAACAGATGATATCACATAGATTCTTGATTATTCGTGGCATTACATGTAGAATTAGCTTTGCAAATTACAAACTTCCGTTTGAACTCATATATAAATAGAATAAGCCCCCACAGATAATCCCCTGTTTCAAAAACTAAAAGAGACAAGCTTATCAGTTGCACCCACAGAGTCCCTTCACAGGATTACTACCCGATGCATTATTCATGATGAGTGCTTTCTTCCTCTGACTTGTCTGACTCAAAACACGGGTAGCCCATTCCGAGAAGTAGCTCTCATTATATCCTATCCGTCCATTCTTGAAGACTGACATGCAGCGCCGATCATCCTCCGGATAAGGACAGGTGTCCCCAACCGGGTCCCGCCAGGCGCCCTCGTGGCGCATCCCCGACCAGCTGGCGAGCCAGTGGTGCACGTACTGTCCCACCCCTGCCAGCTCGCGCCACCCTTTAGGGAACAACTCCATGACGCTGCTTTCCCTGTCCATGAGGATCATGTTCGACAGCTGTGCCCCATGCGCCGATATCACGATGTCAGTCCTACTCATCAACTCCACCTGTGTCGCCACTCAAGACAAAACTGGTTAAAAACTGAATCGAATTTCACTCTAATTCAATATACGACATCGGGTACGCATTTTTTCGATTTACCTGCTCGCAGAACGTGAGGTTGTGCGGGTAGGACACCGTAAGGCGGCACCCACTCACCTTTCGGCATTCCCTCTCGAATATCCGGACCACCGCGGATGGGTTCCTGAACGAGCGTGCCCCGTCCCTCATCAGCATCGTCATCCCGATCTGCAGTCCTTTATCCTCCTTCTCATCAAGCCCCAAACCGCAATACATCCTCGACTTGCACCTCATGAGATCGTACGCCTCCATCCTTCTCTCCCTCGACATCCCCCCCTCGTTGTGCCTCATCACCACCGCCCCCTTGAAGCAGCTCGTGGGCCCACTTCCCTCGAACGTCTCGATGTCGAGCGGCCTTCCGAACACGGCCTCCAGCATGGTCCTCACCCAGGGGGCCATGCTCGTCCGCAGCTCGCCCCAGTGGAACAGTATCCACCGCTCGGGGGCCCTGCACTGGTTCCTGGCGTGCCATGCCACGAAAGGCGTCATGGCCGACAGACCGTGCCAGATGTTGTGGTAGTCGTAGTGGTTGTTGGAGATAAACGTGAGGCCCCGAGACAGGGTCGCGTTCTCCGGCAGTGCGTCTGGCCAGGCGAGCGCGTACGAGTTCCACGACCCGTCGTGGGAGTCCCGGCCTCGGAGGCAGAGGATTCTGCCTCCGGAGGGCTCGGATGGGAATTCTTGGTATTGAACCTCGCCGTGCTCGTGTGTGTCGTACAAGGAGCTCATGAACCATGTGTGCCCTTGCATGGGGACGTCTGAGAAGCGGAGGTCCTTGAGGGGGAGGAAGGTGACGGACTGGCGGAGTCTGGAGGTCGTGGATTTCGAGTCTTCTGCCTTACTGTTGAGAGTCGGGAGGCACGAGTGGATTTTATCCCATTTATGTGTGAGAGGCGCCCATTGGGAGGTTTGGAGGGAGTGGATTTGGAAGAGAATGAAGAGGATGACGAAGATGGTTAGGAGGTAGATCGGGAGTTTGGGGGAGGAGAGAGAGATGTTCTGGTTAGATTTTCGAGGGTAGGCTCGGGTGGGGTTAGAGGCCTGGTCTAGCTCTGAAGATGGTTTCTCCATGTTGATAAGTTAGAGTTTAGGGGTTAGATTGAAGAAGTAGGGATGTTATTTGGTTGACATTTGGGATCTTAGCTTTGGATGGGGAGATTTCAATGTGGTCACCCATCTCTAGATAGGGAAAAAGAACGTGTGTTAACTTAAGGAGCTGGGAACGCAATTCCGGGGTTGGAGGTGACTCAGTGCAGATTAATTAGGTTGAAAAATCGACAATTCTATGATATAATACAACTCTGCATGTTAAATATGGACAATCTAATAATACTACTCCACAAGTTTACGTTTTCCAAACATATCTACCCCTAAAACCTAGCATTTTAAATGGCTTTCACAGTGACATTTGAATTCATCTCACTTCCTTTTGAAGTTGAGAATTCCCTAATTTCTCTCCTTTGTACTTCTCCTTTTCTTATCCTCATATATTTTTAATAGTATGATGACCACCTACAGAAGTAGAATATCCAATTTAAAAGTTTTAAACTAGAATGGCAGATCAACACGCATGTAAAAGTCAATCTCCCTTCAGCTGCTGCCTACACAAGCAAAATCAGGTAAATATCTGCAAACTAATCTTAAGATACACTGCAATACTTCACTTTTACAAAAACGGAGATTATAGTTTCAGCCTTAACATCACACACACACACACACACACACACACAGAGAGAGAGAGAGAGAGTAAAGTCAACATACACCTATGTCAAATGCTCAAAATCATCCAATAAACACAGTTTATTTACACAAATCTCTCTCTACAACCTTCATACATATTCAAAGATCATTGTTAAAAGTTTAAAGACGAAAGCCTAAGAAAGTTAAATCCAGAGTCCAACGGCATCACAAGGAGACCACCTTATTTATTAGTGTTAAAGCCTAAACACTCTATGTACACGAGAAGTTAGTCCTCATCATCCTGTCTTGTTAGGCTCCAACACAGCATAAAGTTATGATACCTTTCATAGTAGCTATACTTTAAAAAACCGATGATGCTGGCCAATTGTACATCGGGGTTAAAATGCTGTACAGAGGTTGCTACTCTTCAAGTTAGAGGAACATTCTTGTTCGATGGGCCTTGATGGGCTGCAAATCCTGCTCCTCTTTGGCTCAGATATTCTAACACGCGAGATAGCCACAGCTAATACATCAACCAAACCACCATCATCGTCCTCCACTACTTCAACTGAACAGCCGGAAACTATATTTGGGCAAGAGCCATCACTGAGACTGCTATGGGTTATTGATCTCTTTCTCTCAGACTCTGGACTGTGATTTAAAGTCAGCTGTCTTGAAGACAATCGTAAGCGGCTCCTGTTTGGTTCAGGAATCAGGGTCTTTAGCGTGTGGTCTGTGTAGAATGAAATCCATGGATGACCTGGGGAAGAAACAAATTACAAAATTCATTCAACAAAAAGAAATGAACGTGCATGGTCCCAGAGAACAAACATGTGCACTTACTTGATTCAATTCAGTGAGTAACAAAATCAAAATAGGGCAACCTTTAAACGATTCGTACTTCCAAGCCCTTAGGCAAAGGCTCTAATTCTTTTTCAAGGTAAGCAGATACAAGTACAAAACCAGACCCCATTATTTAGGTTGATTACAGAAATCTCAGCTATCTTTTAAAACTATAAATAAACCCTCGAGTTTGTATATTTCTGTAATTTGTAACATGAAAACTTTTGTTGAGAGGTAATTTGAGAAATAACACTATTTTCTTATTATTTAGGTGAAAACTTCAACGATAGTATTTGTAATTGTTATAAAGTGAGTTCTAGACTTTCCAAGCAAATAGATGACATTTCGTCAAACTGTTCCTTTAGAACCAAAAAAGGTAGGGCCCATTTGAAATTGCTTGGAAGAACATTCACATTTTTTAACATCAGAAGATAATGCCTTGATGCCCACACGCAATCTCTCAACCAAATATTTTTTGCCACAATCTAGGACATCAGAATATCCATTACTAAGCAGATATAGCATATAGGTTAGATGTAGGATAAAGATAACCTACGTAAAACTTCATTTGCAGTAAACCTTGCTGATGTATTTCTTGTCAGCATTTTAGAAAGCAGGTCACGAGCTGGCTGTGATACAGATTCCCAAACGCCACCAGCGAAATCTAGCTTCACTTTCTTTATAGCTTCAAACACGGTTTCCAAAGAATCGCCTTGAAATGGAAGGACACCGACCAAAAGAGCATGGAGAAGTACACCAGCACTCCAGATATCCACTTTCTCTGAGTAATTGCCCACCAAAACCTCAGGAGCAACATAAGCAGGACTTCCGACAATACCAGAAAGGCTTTGTCCTGCAAATTGAAGAAATTAATGCTCGAGTCTCAATAGACCAGAAAAGTACCCTCGAGATCAAGGATCCAAGCTATATACTGTATGCTCCACAACATACGCACAAAGTTGTAATTAAAAAGTAAAAAAACATACAAAGATTTTAAAGAGCAAAATACTTGATCCCCAATAACCAGTGAGAGTGGGGATGCAGACAATGTTCTCAGTCTAACTTAGGCAACCATTCTTTGATTGCTTTCCAGAACTCTTAATGTATTTACAAGTCGGTTAAATATTTTTCTTGACATAAATTAGTCACATGACCTCCACTTCTCTAAAATGGATTCCAACTTGGCTAGTCTGCTCTGCACAAACTATGAAAGCCTTTATTATATCTTATTATTTCATTTTTCATCTTCCAACTTTTGGACGCTTTCAGGTGGATGACCGCTTCCCCCAACACAACTTGATTCTCTTTGACCATTAAAAGTAAAAACAGTGATAATTCAAACAAGCATATCAGCGACAACCCAAAGGAAGAAGGAAACGGTTAACAAAAAGGAATAACACTCAACCCATCAATTCACGAGGAGAGAGTCCGAAAACATAATAACAATTCAAATTCAGCTACTTACAAGCCAGTAAGGTAAACACCCATATCATACTATAGTAAAATTGAAATTTTGAAATAATAACAAAATAGATAGCCAAACAGATAGATGGGTGAAAAATGTCGGGTGATATTCAAATTTGTCAAAACTAATCAATACTTCTATTTCTCTGTCCTGACAGCCCATTGAAACTAAATGTAACATCTAATTATTATCCAAGCCGTAGTAGTAAGGAGGAACATGAGAAGATGTAAAAAATGAAAAAAACTTGTCATGAAATAAAAATGAAAAGAGCCCATTTTTCTAAAAACAATGAATAGGCAATGTAAGAGCAGAACTAGTACCCTA